AAGTACCCGAAACGTCGGGTATTAAAAACAAATAAATTAAACCCTATAAAATCCGTAAAGGTAGTTTTAATCAATGTGTAGTGTTCACGTAAATATGAGAAATTATTATGTAAACAAATATTATGAAATAATGATTTCTTATATTTACGCGAACACTATACTACTTTTACGGATTTTATCGCGTTTTATTTATACCCGATTAATTTTATATAGTCGGGTGCTCAAAAGAACTTTTCGTTTTAATAAAAGAACACATAGCTGACGTGAAGCATCAACGTTCCGGGAAGTCTGTAGTTTGCGATCATATCCTAGATGGCCCCAACCATTATATCAGATTTGATAGACCACAAATCCTCGCGAAAGAACATCGATTCCTACCAAGGATGATACGTGAGGCTATTGAAATTAAAAAAAAAAACATCCTAATTTCAATAGAGAAGGAGGCTGGGTACTACCACCTGCTTGGGATCCTATAATTAATAAAATTAAAACTAAACCCAAGCATACCACTGCAAGACTTCAAAATACAGTTAGTTCATTCTGCGTAGATCGGACCAAAAACAATAATTAAAAAGCTGAAGGTACTCCGGGTTAACTTTGACATCGGGACGTCAGTCACCTCAGTCCCTCGTGACCATGGGTGCTGGAAAGCACCCGAAACGTCGGGTATTAAAATTAATATAAATAAAACGCGATAAAATCCGTAAAAGTAGTTTTAATCAAAATATTATGAAAATATTTGTCTGTCTGTCTGTCGATCCGTGGTAATCTTCGCAATAGCTGAACTGATTGTGATGAAACTTAATGAACAGATAGACAGCAATACCAGGATGATCTAGGCTGTATTTTATCCGAAAAACTTGAAGATTAAAAAAAACGATTTGATATAATAAGGCTTTGATTACAGACGCCTCATTAACTCCTATCTAGGCGAAACTGGGGCGGGTGTCTAGTTATACGTAATTCATAGCCCTCATTCATAATCACTCAGAAAATTCTACAATTAAATAAAAATGAAAAAAAAAAATGTTTTGCGCGCCCTATAATCATTGATAGTACACCAAATGTCAGACTTTAAATCAATCTGCATAACATCATTATTAAAAGTAGAAGTCTATTTCTCATAGAAGAGACAGTAGTCTTAAGGTTCTGTGTTCGAACTTAGATACTAAAAAGTCGTGGGTTCAAAACCATCATTCGACTATTGTCATAAATCATTCGTAAGACAAGCATTTCAGCTGATTTGGGATGGTAAACGAGAGTTAGTGTTGTTAATAATATTGCTAGTTTTCTTTAAAAAATTAGTTTAATGTGGGGAGACCCTAATTTTTTAAATGTCATAAGCAAAATATTTTATGAACGTTCACAAAAATACTTGCGTTATTAGCGTTTCTTTTGCGTTGAAGTCTTTTACTCTACGTTTAAAAATCTTTCAGATGAATTTCTTTTATATTTGTTCACTTTGTAAATTGGAATTAGGAACAATGTTGCTGTATAGTTAAAAATAAAAATAATTTTGTTTATTTAAAAAGTAATATAAAATAAACAAATGATTTGATGGCGTTTTTATTATCGGTTACGTTCACATAAAATTTTTTTTGGTTAACAAAAAGTAACAACTACAAAGGTGCATGTGTAAAAGTAAAATTTATAGCCTTTATACGTCCCATGGTGTACACAGATATTGTTTCATTACTGAGAGAGACCAAGAAAGACTCACCTAATTACTTTTCGATTACTTGGTAGAAAATTTTGCAAAAATTGCATTGATGTACAAAACTTTACACACATATTCTTGTACTGAAAATAATAAATTTGCTTAGAAATATATGTGCTATATTTTAAAATTAATATTAATATTAAACTCAAACTTAATACTCATGATATTTACAAGTAAAATAATAGTTGTAGCAATAAAAATGTGTTTAATTTGTAGCTTAGTTTATAACTAATTTGTTTTTCATGTACTTTAGTTTATGGGCAACCACCCCACCATCGTTTGATTTTGGTCTGAATCAACTAATACTGCAAGATCCATGATGGAATCTAAATGCAGGCGTTGTTCTCTAGCTTGACCAGCCTTTTCATTCGATGAGGGAAAAGGGAAGCAGCCTCAAGGCGTACTCGTTCGAGTTCAGCATCATCAAATATTTTTGAGCGGATCTGGCAGGTTTTGCTCCGTGACCGAAACAAATGGCTCCAGCCCAACAAAAAAGCAATGCATCTAAACCCGATACTCAGACAACCGGTTTCTTTCCCGTTCATCCTAAAATATGCTCGCAAAGCGTTTGTATTCATTGATTTCGTCCAACGTCCGCGAGGTCACTTCACCAATGGCAGGTGCTGTTTTTCAGTCTGAAAACATCCTACTTACACCAAGCCTACTGGTGGGAGTGTTTGATGCAAGGTATTCTAAGTGGTCTTGCAGCACTTTGCATGAGGAAGGTGACTCGCATGTTGTCTAATGCTAGCTCCAGGCGCGCTCTGACAACCTCCAGGCAGCGGCCCTTTACCATATGTTGCAGCGTTAGTTATTGTTCGTTGAGAAACTGGAATTCAGAGGTAAAAATGTTCATTGGCATTGAGCCCGATACGAGAGCGTCAATATCCATCGCGTTTCTGTTTATTGTTGGCAACGTTTTCCCATTTCTCGCAGTCGATATTGAAGATGATCATATTCTGCTTCACACATCCTTGAAACGTAAGAGTGGTCTCCCTATCTTCCGCTTTGCGAAAGTAACTTGGACCAATAATGTCACTTGGTGTTATTTATTATAAATGACAGTTAAATATTATTGTCTACTTATGTATGAGATAGCCACGTCCTTACTATATGTCGACAGATCCGGAAGGATCTGAATGAAAAGGCGAGGAAAGAAAAAGAAAGACCTTAGTTTCGTGACAGTGGATTCGAGTTACGAACATCCGCAGGCACTCCCGCGTCTACGAAGTGGATTCGGCAGGACTAGGGTCGGAACTTCATGCAGTTTGTCCATAGACATATTAACGTCTTCCCCTCACGGGTTCGAACAACTAGGGGGCGTAGCATTGGTCGTCAGGACTCACGTATATAATAGAGACCTCATATTGGAGCCTTGTCGAGAGCGAAATTAATCCGTTGTGTATGCAGTTAAAATTAAGGCTGTTAACTGATAAAAATACAGCAAGATTGTTTTATTTTAGCTTATATAGTGCGATATCCTATAGATTATTATTGTGGGCAATGCCAGCTGATGTTGAAAATATACGTATACTACGTAGAGAACATATGTGTACAGGTACAGAGTATCCGATCAACGGACTCATTTAGAGATCAACTAGAACTAATTAAGTTCATACTGGATTCAAAAATTTATGTTTGAACCTATTTTAACACCTTTGATAAAATGAATGATGTCCATAACCTTAGCAAGACATAAATCTAAATTTGCTTTTAAAAAATACGGTCTCCATTAAACTAGTATTTGGTTAGATATATAACAATTTATATCAAGATTCTTTGTAACATATGTGTTCAAATGGAAAAAGGTTTTTAAAAATTTAAAAATAAACTGATTACTTAAAAGATAGGAATGCTTGCACATAATGAGTTTTCTTAGACTTTCTTAATTAATTTACAAGGTTGAATTATATTTATTAAGAGAAAAATAGTATACTTGTAAGTTTGTAGAGACAATGACGTAGTTATTAGGACTTTCAAAAATAATTGGAAACATAAAAAGTTATCGGAATGAATCTCCCAAACTGCCTAATACGCTTGAGGTGGGTCAGTAAATAGAAACATCTATAATAATCAAGATCTTAAGAAAGATTCTTTTAGCTGTTTAAATTAAAAATTCAAATAAAGAGTTAACTTATTTGTTTAGTTCGAGTTTGGATTTGATCGATCTGAGATTTTTGCTAAACAAAAAATATCCAGGCTTTTCAGTCAATAGCCTATTTCTGTTGTCAACCAGCACTGTATACGATACTATTTCAAAAGTAGGATAGCCAGTTTAATTGCAAGCTGTTAGGCATTCTAGCTCAGTCCTAAGATGTGATAACGTATCCTGACTTAACTGCTTGGAAGCCCAGTGGCTTAGCGTTTGGCTGTGGCGCTGTGGGACTGTGGGTTCGGATTTCCCACTTGTGGAACGTTTTTTTCAATAAAGTATAAAAACAAAAAGCAATCTGTGTTCTTCTTTGTTTGAATATGGTAGGTATTCATTAGTTGCGATGGACAGTTACCATAAGTATACATAATTAATATCTCTTTATATAAAAATCAATTACTGTCCGTTGGTCTCGCTAAAAATAATTTTGAGTAGTTTTTTAACAGGAGCTCTTAGTAAGATTTTACTGACAAGCTCCGGACAATCCATTTTACGTTGTGCTATTTTTGTTAGAAACAGATGTTTTATTCCAATTCGAGAGAATAAAATGAACCAAATTAATATAAATAGTAAACAGTGGTTACATTATGTTTATGTCTATATTCATCTTCATTAATCGGTGAGCGAAGCCCGATTCGACTTAATCGCTTCGGTTAGCAGGTGATTTCGAGTGTCACACACTTAGCACTTTACATTCGCGTTGCCTGTAACCTATTTAGATAAGTTATCCTAACGATAACTATTACTTAATTGCATTATGCAATCTTTAAAAACACAAGTAATGTAGACTCAATTATAATCGGGTTCTGAAGTAAATCAGAAAACGATAATGTGACTAATTACGAAATCAAGGTAATTATTTCTTCGTTACGAAAATAATATAATTATAAACACAAACTATTTTAAGTGTGTAATTGAATAATGAAATATCTATAATAATATTTCATCTTAATATTCTACGCAGGTTATTTCTACACAATTCATTATGAAGAAAATTGTTTTATTAGTGTTTAAATTTTAAAAGATTATCAAAAAGTTTGTTGTACCTATGTCAAAATAAAAAAATCTGTCAGTTACAAATATTTTTAAGGCAACATTTGAATGAGATGTTTATAGTAATAGTCTTACCCACGTCAGGATGCTCCACGAGCGTCTCATCGACAATGGATTGCAGCCACCAGGGCTCTAGCTCAGCCATCTCGCGGCGCCGTCGCCCTCTTGACTCGTACGGAAGGTGCATCCTTCACAGCATCACACCACGCTTCACCACCACCGGTTGAACTGCCTTGAATAACCGGCAATGGATAGCAAAGCGAGAAACTCCTTGACTGTGAACCGGTAATCGATTGTACGAAAATTCTTGCCAAGGTCACTTCTTTAATTTAGTAGCAGCGTTGAAACGCAACGTATGTCCCTGGCAAGCTGATTTGGCTTAACTGGCGTTTATTGTGCGAGCTTTCTCCGCATTTTAAGCAATGATGAGTGATTGTCTTTATTCAAATGTTTCTCCATGAACGTCCTTGGCACTGCGCCAACCAAATTTCCCGCTTTATTGTTTGATGAATTATCACTTTTTTATTGTTCGCACTTAGTATCGTTGTCTTTCGTTATAAACGTAATGATTAATTTATGGGATCTTTGGATGCTTACAGCGGTACTAAATTCCTCAGTCGACAATTACAGAGTATTTTGTATAGTAACTAATTAACGATATAGTCAACACTTGTGGACGTGAGTATAAACAATCTTTTTTGTAACTTTTCCTCAATGTGAACGCACGATAGTCAGAACGGACCTTGAAGATTTCTGTTTCAACTTAACTTTCGTCATTTTATGTGACTCACGGCGTTAGTTTTAGCGAGAATCGTCGAAAAGAGAAACCATACCGCTGCGGAAGCTACTCTGAATGTGTTGCTGCGTCCACGCAGGCTCTGTCAGTATCAGCTAAGTGCGGACTTTTCAAGACATTTCCCCATACATTGCGTCACCGTATACTTTTTGCAAACACGGACGTAAGTTCCGACGGTCACAGGTATTTACCGCGTCCGTGAATCGGCTCGTCGCGTCGGATGACTCACGGCGCGGAGGCTGGACGCGTGTGCTCCGCTCGCGCGACTCTATACTACTGAGCCGCCGCCATTCTGTCACTCGCTGCCTCCATTCTCTGTGGTCAATCTGCGGTTTGGTCACGCTTCATTTGCCGGGAAAATGCGCGGTAATTGTCTCCCACTCGCACGCACTCCTTACTTCACGTGAGCGAGGGAGATATGCAAAAAGTTTTGTTCCATTAAACATTTTTGTTTAGCTCCATTGTTGGAAAGGAAATATAATGAGCTTTTTCATTTTGAAACGTTGTTAGATGTCTCGCTCTTTTCACCTATTTTAATAGAGACATTAATATAATTTTAAATTCTTTTCTTAAATTATGAATTTCTGAGATAATTCACTGTAAGATAAATCACATTTCTATTTTAATATTGCTAATGTAGTTGTACATCGAATAAATTAATCATTTAAAATTACTTTGTTACTGCTATTAAAATAATATTATTAAATTACATATGTCGTTTTTTAACATTTAAAATTCGTATAATGTTAAATTAACGTTTAAGTTGAATATATTATGAAACCGCCTTATGATTTACCTCAACGATGCACTAAGAGGTAATTAAGCTTCCGATGTATTAAGATCAACTGTAAGTGAAAGTTAAGATTAAGCAATGTTTATATAGGAGTAGCTTAAGACTGGGCGTACGCTCGACTGGGCGTGGCGCCCCGCCCCGCCGGCGCTAAGACGTGCCAACTCGACGGGAAAAATGCTCGACATCGCGACGCGTCGCAACACTTGTTGCATATCGGGCATGATACTACTAGAGCGAACCTTTGGGTTATCCGTAAATTTGCTAAGATGATACCACGTAAGTAGCGTTATATCATATTAAGAACATAAAACATAAAAAAACATAAACACTCACGCCTGTCACCCAGAGGGGTAGGCAGAGACTACGGACTTCCATTTGGCACGATCCTGACATACCTCTTTCGCCTCCTTTACATCCATATATCTACGCTTACATGCTCGTCGGTTAAGGGTAAGTACTTCTAGCGTGGCCCATTTTCAAAATATCGCCAATTTGGTCGATAAACTTTCTTCTAGGACGTCCCTTCCCGACTCTGCCATTCACATCTGCCATATAAATTTGCTTTGTCACTCTTTCCTCATTCATTCTTTCTACATGACCAAATATATTAAGGTATTGGGAATTATATAGTGATGGTCATATTTATACACTATTGTAAAATATTTGTTTTTATAAGTAATAGAGCCACGTTGCAGCTATATCATGGTTGTAGCACGAATGGTTGGGCTCAACCGGGGAAGGAACACGCTCTCACAGAATACCAGCATAAAATAGCAGCTTAATGCTGCTGTGTTTAGTATGGTGAGTGTAGAGATCCGGAGACCCTTTTTTTATTGGAAACGAGGCATTCCATCTTAGTCCTCAGGGATTTTGATTCTAAATCGAGGCAAAATGTGGATATCTAAGGGCCACAGCATCCACTTACCATTAGGTCGACTGTGTGCTCGTTTATCAACCTCTCTATTCTATAAAAAAATGTTACCTACCTATAATGGATTAAAAAGGTTTGTATGCATTAAAATAAAATAAAAATATGATTCAGGATCATAAATGAGAAAGGGGTTGAGCCCATTGATGTGCGACAGTATGTTCCTGATTAAAAGATAAAACTTATTTTTTCAGAAATTTTATTTAAAGCTAACTTTTCTAGACCTTACTTGCACTCAAAAGAAGAATTTCATTTAATTTATTTAAACAACCGAGGCTCATATTTTATTAGTATTACTTATAACTAAACTTATAGCTATGTTAGTAAGCATAATATTATTATTTTATATAATTGTGTGAAGTACAAAAAATACATTTATATTTATATGTGCCATTTTCTCACCAATCCACCCGATATGGCGCTACAATGGCACATGTATAGGCAGTCCAGCTTGCTAGCAATCACTTTCAGGATACTATTGTTACTACCCCCATACCAGAGACGCGCACCTCTTGCGCATGGTCGCGTAAAAGCAGTCCACTCGCGGTTCTGCGAACATCCCCGATGCACTACAGAAACGAGGCAGTCCCAGCAGTACCCTAAACGCGTTGTTGTATTGTACTCGGAGGGCGTTGTAAGCATTTTGATTATATCTAGCCCACAGGCTGCACGTGTAAAGTGACGTGCAGTAAGCTCTAAATAGGGCTATTTTAACTTCCCTTGAATAGCGTGCAAATCTGCGAGCTATCATGTTCGCTCTTACTGACAACGCCCTCCGTTCCCTCTCAATGTCATCATCATCCCCGAGACGAGGAGTCAGAACATGGCCAAGATGTCAAAGAAGTCATACTAGTATATTTAATTCACACTTGACACAAAAAAAAATCATCAACATATCCATCTACGCGTTGGTTTCCAATGAATATTCTCTATGTTGGTTTCTATTGTCTCCTTTATAGTTTAAGATATCGACTAAGAAACAAAATAGAGACGTGTTGTCACCATTGACAATTAACATAGAAAAGAAAGATTTCCTCGTTATATAAAAACGGGGTCTCCGGTTCTCATTCTATCACTGTACGAAATAAAGTAGACTTATGCTGGTATGTTGGTGTTAAGAAAAATTAACACCAACATACCAGCCAGTGGTAGCTCAGGAGCCGTGGTAGCTCAGTGGTTAACGCTCGCTGTAAATATAACAGAACGCGAGTAACCCGGGTTCGATCCCCGCCGGCACCAATGAAATTGTTAATTGCAATTTTAAGTGCTGATTTACCACGTGCTCGGCGGTGAAGGAAAACATCGTGAGGAAACCTGCATGTCTGAGGAATAAGAAAAAAAAATATTTCGAAGACATGTGAAGTTCGTCAACACGCATTTGGGCAGCGCGGCGGACACTTCCTCGCCCTAAACCCTCTCAGAAATGAGGGGAGGCCTGAGCCCAGCAGTGGGACGTATATAGGTTGTAACTTTACTTTTACTTTTTACCAGCCAGAGAAAAATTATTCCTGCTTCTAGTTTCTTTTTTCATTTTTCTAATTATTCTCCTTCTTTACTGTAGCGTGACTCTACCATACAGGAAACGTATTTTTATATGTAATTGATTTGATCAAAAGTGCCGGACACAAAATTAATTTTATTTTTAAATATACGTAGACAACATAATGTAAGAGAATTTAACATTGCTATGAGATATTTTCTCGACTCGGTCTACGATTTTTTCAAATTCTATTTAATTCACCTTTAATTTGTGACACCTGCCATTAGTCGTATTTAATATAATGAATAAAGGAAGGGCTTAGTATATAGTTCCATAAGAAGGATAACAATATATATTCTCTTCAACCACTTTATTGTAGTCTTAACCAAGTTATTGTTAAATATGCCATTGTAGAATACTTTATCTTTGATTAAACCTGTCACAGGCTGGTACGGGTCCGTTAGAAGTGAACTTACATGCCTACGACCGAGACCCCTCATCAGAGAGTAGTATATTCCTTGACCGAGACAATCTAATTAAGGTGCGGGAGTCGGCCGCAGCTGCGGTATGCTCCTTTCCCGCTCGTCCGCAAAAATCGACAACCCTGCGGTCTCCGGTCACTGGGTGATGACCGCCCGATAATTACAGCACGTGGCTTCTGTTTCTAAACTACTTCAGTGTAAAAGTACCTTTATATAGTAGAATTTTTTTTCTCTTGACAGCTCTGTTATGTAACGTGCTTTACTTTTGATTTTTATTTTCTATTTTTTTTATAGAAGAGGGGACAAACGAGCATGTGGCTCACCTGATGTTAAGTGGCTACCGCCGCCCATGATCAACCGCAACACCAGTGGAATTGCAGGAATGACGACAAAAAACAAAAAACTGCGGTTTCCAACGCGCTGGCCAAGCTTGATAACTATGACAAAATCCCGCCTATGGAGCAATTTATGGGGAAGACTATGCTCAGCCTGTAACGATACCGGTAAGGAACACAAAGAGATTCATAAAAACTTTTCTTTTATCTTCTTTTTAGTCCGTATAAGTTAACTGATAGCCGCTCCCGTTATGTAGAGCATTTGTATTAATTTTTACGCTTAGTAGACTAGTTGACCAGGTGGTTAACAACTTTGGTTACGATGCTCGTC